AACAAAATTTATTGGACAATTTAAACTTTTTTAACAAATAAAAAACTGAAAAGTGGGGCGTGCAATATTACTTTGTAGCGCTACCTTTTGCTGCAATTACAGCTGCAAGTCACTTGGGGTAGGTCTCAATCAGTTTTGCACATCGAGAGACTGGAATTCTTGCCCATTCTTCCTTGCAAAACAGCTTGAGCTCAGTGAGGTTGGATGGAGAGCGTTTGTGAACAGCAGTCTTCAGCTCTTTCCACAGATTCTGGATTGGATTCAGGTCTGGACTTTGACTTGGCCATTCTAACACCTGGATACGTCTATTTGTGAACCATTCCATTGTAGATTTGGCTTTATGTTTTGGATCATTGTCCTGTTGGAAGATAAATCTTTGAAAATATTTGGCTCCATCCATCTTCCCATCAATTTTAGCCATCTTCCCTGTCCCTGCTGAAGAAAAGCAGGCCCAAAGCATGATGCTGCCACCACCATGTTTGACAGTGGGGATGGTGTGTTCAGGGTGATGAGCTGTGTTGCTTTTACACCAAACATATCGTTTTGCATTGTGGCCAAAAAGTTCGATTTTGGTTTCATCTGACCAGAGCACCTTCTTCCACATGTTTGGTGTGTCTCCCAGGTGGCTTGTGGCAAACTTTAAACGAGACTTTTTATGGATATTTTTGAGAAATAGCTTTCTTCTTGCCACTCTTCCATAAAGGCCAGATTTGTGCAGTCCACGACTGATTGTTGTCCTATGGACAGACTCTCCCACCTCAGCTGTAGTTATCTGCAGTTCATCCAGAGTGATCATGGGCCTCTTGTCTGCATCTCTGATCAGTCTTCTCTTTGTTTTAGATGAAAGTTTGGAGGGACGGCCGGGTCTTGGTAGATTTGCAGTGGTCTGATACTCCTTCCATTTCAATATAATTGCTTGCACAGTGCTCCTTGAGGTGTTTAAAGCTTGGGAAATCTTTTTGTATCCAAATCCGGCTTTAAACTTCTCCACAACAGTATCTCGGACCTGCCTGGTGTGTTCCTTTGTCTTCATGGTTCCTCTGTGCTTTTAAACAGAACCCTGAGACTATCAAAGAGCAGGTGCATTTATACGGAGACTTGATTACACACAGGTGCATTCTATTTATCATCATCAGTCATTTAGGACAACATTGGATCATTCAAAGATCCTCACTGAACTTCTGGAGTGAGTTTGCTGCACTGAAAGTAAAGGGGCCGAATAATATTGCACGCCCCGCTTTTCAGTTTTTTATTTGTTAAAAAAGTTTAAATTATCCAATAAATTTCGTTCCACTTCACGACTGTGTCCCACTTGTTGTTGATTCATGACAAAAAATTTAAATTTTTGCACCTGTAGATGATAAAAATGAGATAATCCAAGAGATAATCTCCAGTTTGAGCTCCTCCACATGCAGCCTGGATGTACTACCCAATAGATTTCTAAAGTCTGTTCTGAGCAGTCTGTTACCTTCACTCACACAGATAGTAAACATGTCCCTTCATTCTGGAATATTCCCAAAGGCCCTGAAAACTGCAGTCATCAGGCCCCTGCTAAAAAAGAGCAGCCTGGATGCTACGGTACTTAACAACTATCGTCCCATCTCAAAGCTGCCATTTATGGGGAAAGTCCTTGAGAAAGTTGTCTACCTACAGCTTACTAGATTTCTTATAATCAACAACTCATTTGATATGTTTCAGTCCGGCTTTAGACCCCACCACAGCACTGAGACTGCTCTCGTCAAGGTTACAAACAATATCCGGCTGAACACTGACGCAGGCAAAGTCTCAATCTTAATCTTGTTAGATCTAAGTGCTGCCTTTGACACTGTCGACCATGAGATCCTCTTACAGAGACTAGAGGACTGGGTTGGCGTCGCTGGCACCGCCCTAAGTTGGTTTAGGTCTTACCTTGAAGACAGGAAGTACTTTGTGGAGATTGGAAACTGTGTCTCAGATCATATGGCCCTGACCTGTGGAGTCCCACAGGGGTCGATCCTGGGACCTCTTCTGTTCAATCTCTACATGCTGCCGTTAGGACACTTTGTTTCTGCGTATTAACTGACCTATCACAACTTTGCAGACGACACTCAGATCTATGTCTCACTGACTGCAGGAGAACATGGACCAGTGGACTCACTCCTTCACTGTATCCAACAGACTTCCTTCAGCTAAACGCAGACAAAACTGAAATGATTGTCTTTGGTCCCCAGAAACAAAGAGAGAGCGTCATCTGTCACCTACAGTCTCTCTCCCTAAAACCTTCAAACAAGGTCAGAAATCTAGGGGTAATACTGGACTCAGACTTAAATTTTAATAGCCACATCAAATCAGTAACATCAGCAGCTTTTTACCATCTAAAAAACATTGCCAGGATCAAAAACATAGTGTCTAAAGCAGACTTGGAGATTCTTATCCATGCATTTGTCTTTCAGATTTCAGATTTCAGATTCATGCTGCTAAAATCTGGAACAATCTTCCTGAAAGTGTGAGACAGGCCTCCTCTCTGACAATGTTTAAAACCAGTTTAAAAACAGTTCTGTTTAGCTGTGCATACAACTGAGGGATTTTATATTTTTAACTTTCTTTTTAATGTTCTGTGATTATTTATGATTTTAATGCTTTCTTGTTTTGTTCAGCACTTTGAGTTGCCTTGTGTATGAATTGTGCTATACAAATAAACCTGCCTTGCCTTGCCGTACCTGTGTCAGATCTTATCAGTGGTGAAATCAGACACGTTGATAATGTGTGTGATGTGGAACACGTTTGCTGTGTCATTTGCATATTGTCCCCTAGATCCAGGGGTGTCCCAATACCCTCAGAATTTGGACAGGGCCTTAAGCCTAGTGTATAGTCGCGCGGCGCAGAGCTTCCGGTGGTAACGTGACGTCTCTTGCGCAATGCGTGGATCACTGCAAGGCCCTTACATAGCCTGCCATAGCTTTGTGCTTCGAAGGAACCAAAGGAAAAGTGGTTTGGGCTCATGGCAGAGCCTGATATACACGGAGACTGTGGACTAGAGTTCTGTGGCATATATAACATATATTTAACTTCTAAACTGTGCAGTCGTTTATTTTGCCCTGTTCCTGTCTTAGTTTGAATCGTAGCTTATCCCGTCTGTTGCATTCCTCCTGCACTTTTAAATTGTTCATGTTTGGTCTCAGATATTTACCACTTATTGTTTTGCTGGATACAATTTAATAATAACTATGTTTCCAACAAGAACTGTGTCTTTATTCACAACATCACAGTTAAATGAGTTGAAACGATGAGTCCATAGAACTGTCACGTAAACCTACAGTAGATACACATGTAATGATCTCAAACAGCTTGCTTCGCTATGGTTTTTGTTCTGAAGAGGAGAAAGTAGCAGCGTAAATGGGACCGCTCCTTTGAGATCGCCATCACGTGTTTGGTTGTGGGATTACAACATTCTCTTCAAAACTCCGTAAGGGGAACGCGCTAGTGTACCACCAACTGTGGTTACGTCGGTCCAACGTAACCGTAAGCAGTGCCGTGCGAGTGTACACAGGCCTTCAGACTCATGTATTGTACTACACTCAGGCCTTGGTGTCCCCCACTGTGAGCAGGAGGACAGAGGATTATAAAAGTGGAGATTTTTCCATTTGCCGTTGGTCCAGTGTCGTCCTAAAGTCAAACTGACACCACTACACTGTTAGCTTTGTGTCTCATGTGTTTGACTTTCCCCTGAGCTTAAACAAACAGACATGGAAAGCTCAGCATATTTCTGTTGTCTCTGAACTCTTTTATGACTCGGGTTTATGTTGTGAGGCGTTTCAGCACATACAAGAGTCAGACGGAAAGACTAGTCTGTCGGCACAGACCTCATGAGAAACCCCGCTTCAAACAGAACCGTGGACCGTGTTATAATAACTTTAGATTCTTTAGTATAGGAGGCAGTAGCTCAGTGGGCACAGTGGTTGTGTTAATAAAATGATTCCTCTGGTCTCTCTCTCTATGGGCTCCCTCTCCCTCTCGAGTGACTCTCTTGTCTTTAGTGTTTGTGTTTGTCCATGAAGTTTGGTGGTTTGAATATTGCTCCTGACATAAACCTCACTGGTTGAACAGTCAGTGACTGACCCACCACAGGTGTGAAACCAGCTCCCATTAGTGACAGCTGCTGTGCGCCCTTGGTCACTATTGAACATTATTAGTCATGAGCCACACAAATGGAGATGCAGACAGATGAAAATGTTATTGACGCATCAATCTATCAAATTTCAAAGGCTGATTTAAAAGTTGGCCCGTCCTGAATATTGTGTAAAAGACATCACATTTTATGACTTTTGTGTGATGTTTGTATTAAAAGTCTGACGTTTTTAGGAGATTTTCATACAAAAGATGTGACTTTTTTAAAGTAGCATCTTTTGTATATCTTAGGTATGCAAAAGATATATGAATCTTAAATTTTAATAATCACATATTTTATGTTTTTCATTTAGCCAAATACCTCTTCTGCCCACTAGAAGTTGCTAGAAGTCAACTGTTTTATACATCAGTCAAATTTTCTATAATGGCTCTGTTTATTTGTGTAACCGACGTGATGGCTTTGGCGGAATGAGCTGTGCGGAAGTTTGTTGCATATTTCCCCATTTGATTAATACATTTATTTATTTTTACACACAGAATATAAACAAAGTGATTTTTTCAAATAATCTCTATTTTTTTTAAAATATGATTCACATATCAGAAAACTGAAAAAGCCCAGAAATTCTTTTTTTTATTTAGGATGTCAGATCTGGAGACTGCCTAGGCCACTCTAGGACCTTGAAATGCTTCTTACGAAGCCACTTCTTTATTGCACAGGCGGTGTGTTTGGGATCATTGTCATGATGAAAGACCCAGCCACGTTTCATCTTCAATGCCCTTGCTGATGGAAGGAGGTATTGATTGGCCCCATTCACTCTTTCCTTTACATGGATTAGTCGTCCTGGTCCCTTGGCAAAATAACAGCCCCAAAGCATGATGATTCCACCCCCATGATTTACAGCACAGTAGGTATGGTGTTCTTTGGATGCAACTCAGCAGTCTTTCTCCTCAAAACACAACAAGTTGATTTTTTTCCAAAAAGTTTTATTTTGGCTTCTGACCATCTTTCATACTGATGAGTTCAGACAGGTAACAGGTGGACGAAGGAGCCTCTTAAAGAAAGAGTTACAGGTCTGTGAGAGTGTTTGTATGTGACCAAATACTTACTTTTTCCTCCATAGTTTGTCTGATTTTCTAAATAATTTTTTTGCAATGTGATTTTCTGGATTCTTTTTTTTATCTCATTGTTGAGGTATAGATTATGATAATTACAGGCTTGAACTTGCACAATTGGTGGCTGACTAAATACTTTTTTGCCTGTAAGTCAATCAATGTTTGAGGCCTGCATTTCTTAATTCTTTTTAATTTACTGTGATAGTTATGATATTAATGTTTTATCTTGGTTTTTTCAGCACTTTGAGTTGCCTCGTGTAAACTGAACTGTGATATACAAATAACCTTTCCTTGCCTCATTGTTTAAGCAGCTCTTTCAGAGTGCTCTCTCTGCTGGTGACTGATTGACCATCTCTATTCCCCACAGTGTCTGGACGTTCTGGACGGCCGCAGAGCTCCCTTCCCTCCGCTCCGTCTCAGTGCAGAAACCCGGGACACAGACACACAGGCGCCCTCTAGTGGAGACTCCTCTCCTCTGCCCAGCAGCCCTGAGCATGGCAGCCCCTGCTCGGAGGACACGGACAAAGGTGAAAACACGGAGCATATACAAGAATCTCTGGGGCCGTTTTCTTAAATGTTCTTAGTACTAAGAGTTGCTCTTAGTGGCCAAATTCTAAGAATAGTCTTAGAATCTTGAGCTACTCTTAGAATTTCCCCTAAAGTGATGAGTAGATCTTAGTTAAGAAAAATGCTATTCCTAAAGAATCCTAGGTCTTAAGAGTGCTCCTAAGGTGAGATCTCTTAAGAGTGGAGAGGAGGACATTTAGCGACTTAGGAGTTCCCTAAGGACAAAATGGCAAACGGAAGAGGCAGGAGAGATATTCTACAAACACTTGATGACAGTGAATTAGTGGAACGCTACAGATTGGATCGTGCAGAAATCACGTTTGTGGTATATCAAAAGTCAACCATGTGACCAACTTCTTATAGTGCCATTTTACCCTTGTTACACGAAAGTGAGTAGAAATGGTTGTTGAAAGAGAAAAAATGACCAGCATGGCAATTAATATGAGCAAATAAGTATAACTATCACTGTGTTAATACTGTGCAGGTGGGCCTAAGTTTTTACACACATTCAGTATGAAGGAATGGATACTTTATTTCGAGCCATGGCAAACAAGAACAAATAAAACAACCACAGAATAGAAAAAAAGAAACAATACATGAAAATATACAAATATACAGTATGTTTGGTTTTATTAACAAAAATCCAACTCAAAAAGGAGTGGGAAAAGGTCAGACTTTTAAGCCGCGTCCCAATTCTCACCCTTGCCCTTAAAAAGCACCCTTGCCCTAGATTTTGTGCGTGCCCGCGGGGATATTAGGGTGTCCCAATACTTAGGGAGAAGAGGCAAGGGCCCTCACACCCTTAATAACCACCCTTGCACGCAAGTGAGCTCCGGAGCAGCCTGTGAACAGCAGACCACCGTTTGCTACATGTCCTTTGCTGTGCATTGAAAGAGACATTATGTATGATGATTTAAAAGTTACTATTCACAGCATTCATTTTACATTGACATATCTATGTCTATCTTTTATGTAGGATATTATTATTATTATGAGGGTCCTTATTAGGCCCATTATGATCTAAAGTATGTTTTATCCAACTTATAGGATCAACCAATCACAGCGTCTGAAAAGATGACTCATACCTAACAACGGGGTTGGCCACACTGGAGTTTTTGTCCATTCCTTGCTCAGAGTTTTCTGAGAATGTTAAGCTATGACTCCTAGCTAGGAGTTTTTAGGTTAAGTTAGGAGCTCTCTGAGAGGACTCTCTGAATCTTTAGGCATACGGCCCCTGTTCTCCATCCCTGGCCTCTCTCTGTCTGTCTCTGTCTCACTTTGGTCTCTGGTCTCTGGTCTTTGGTCTCTATCTCTCTCTCTGGTCTATCTATCTCTCTGGCCTCTCTATCTTGGACTGAGGCTGTAGATCCAGAACGTTTAATAATAATAATGCATCGGTTTTATGTTGCGCTTTTTTGGACACTCAATGACGCTTCACATATTATTATTCATTCACTCCATACACTGTGGTGATAAACTACTACTGTAGCCACAGCTGCCCTGGGGCACACTGCAGAAACGAGCCAACCAGTATGTGCCATTGGCCCCTCCAACCACCACCAACCAGTGTGTTGTGTTGTAGACGGTGTGTGCTGCTCTCCTCTGCCAAAGTTCGCCACGTCTCCCAAACCCAACAACAGCTACATGTTCAAACGGGAGCCTCCTGAGGGATGCGAGAGAGTCAAGGTCTTTGATGAGCTCGGGTGAGTTATGTCGTTCAAACCCAACAATGATTTAATCAATTTGTGTATTTTGATATAATTGAGAGGAACAACATATTTAGCTTGAAACGTTTGAGCTATTAACTATGTTATTAACCAGACCAGAGAGGGACCAGAGAGGGACCAGAGAGGGACCAGAGAGAGACCAGAGAGGGACCAGAGAGGGACCAGAGAGGGACCAGAGAGGGACCAGAGAGGGACCAGAGAGAGACCAGAGAGGGACCAGAGAGGGACCAGAGAGAGACCAGAGAGAGACCAGAGAGGGACCAGAGAGGGACCAGAGAGGGACCAGAGAGGGACCAGAGAGGGACCAGAGAGGGACCAGAGAGGGACCAGAGAGGGACCAGAGAGGGACCTCAAAAAAAGTTTCTTGTTTCTTGTGTACAGATCTGGTCAGTCAAAAGGTTTCCCCCTCTTCTCCTGCCCGGACAAAAACAAGGTTAACTTCATCCCTCGCGGCTCGGCCTTCTGCCCAGTCAAACTGCTCTGCACGTCCTTCCTCTCCCCGGTCCCCCCTCCCTGTGGAGACCCAAAGACCGCCGCAGACCCGGACAGCTGCTCCGAGTAGGTGTCCGACCTGTCCTTCTCCCACGCCGCCCGCTAGAAACCAATCATTCCACAATTTCAGTGCCTGCCCAGCATCTCAGCACTCCAGGCCAGTAGGGGGAGAAGTGAGAGGACCGGGGATTCTGTAGAATTGTAACGGTGTAATGATCAATGCTGCAATTTTGAAGTTGGTAGAGAAAAAATAGGAGCAATGCTAGTTTCTGTATTGCATTGCAATGATAGTGATGATTTTGAATGGGACTTAACAGGGACCATGTCAAATTAAAGCTGGGATACCTGACTTTAAACAATGTAATACATTCCATGCCACTATTTCCTGACTCTGGTCTTTCTCTCTGGTTTGTCTCTTTCTGTTCCCTCTCTTTCTTGTCTCTCTCTGGTCTCTCTTTTTCACAAGTGTGAAGACATGTTTCTTTGGTCTCTACCACATTTTTAAATCACCTTTTTCAGACAGAAAATACTTTTTTTTTTTCAATCTTACAGGGCTCTTTCTGTAAGTCACAAAAAGATAGCCTGTTTTATAAGATGATGGTAGCATGCTGCGTAAAGTTGGGTATCCCAGCTTTAAAAGTACATGAATGATGAGATGATCTGAATGCAGCTTGAGATGGATTTTGGTTACATAAAAAGAACCATGTGGTGGTGTATCTTTTAAATGCTGGTTCAGTGTCCTGTTACAATCCCGCTGGTCCCCGAAGGGTTCAACTACTGCTTCAGACTTAAGTCCTTTTCAGGTGAGACGTTCTATTTATCAAAAGCCAGTGTTCCAGCGTTACAAATGTATTCCTCAAGCCTGACACATTCCAAACATCTAATAGACTGTGTATATGTGATATCACCACATTCCCCTTGGGGTCTCTCTCTATGATCTCTCTAGTGTCTCTGGTCATATAATGGAAACATATCTAACATAACTTTATAAGCTGATTTAGCACTCACCTGGAAACCATATAAGCTTCATAATCGACCAGTTCTAACTCGAGATCAAGACTTTTACTGCATACTCTCAATGCCCACTATATACAGTCGGGATTATGTTAATGAGACCTGATTTTATGTTTTGAAAAGCAATCTTGTGCACTCTCGTTCGTTCAGGGTATAAACATTGCCTTACCACAAGTCTACTGCGTGAGAATACTGTCAAATACTGTTAATTTAGCTTTGTTTTTACTGTTTATAACCTGACATTTTACAATGGGCCGGCTCTCAACTCCCCACAGAGACAACTCTTATCCATAGACTGTACACAGATGGACAATGGTAACCCACTGGCACAATGAAGCCCAATAGGGAAGTGCTCATGGTGAAGTTTGGCTCCTATTGACTTACATGTAAAAGTAAACTCACTCAGTAAACACAGCCTCTGACTGTCTCTTTTTCCATTGCTGTAATCGTCCCAGAAGCGACTCAGGTCAAAGTTGTGCCTCTATCACTCTGCCTTCTTCACCTCAAGTGCATTCGTCTGCAGAGTTCAACACAAACGGAGGCGGCTGTTCAGGAGATGGCAAAAAAACGTGATCATGTATTCCATAGAAGAAATGGATTAAGGTAGTTGTGGCGGCAGGTTTTGGTTTTCGTTTTGGGAATGTGTGATTTTTCTGGTGCTGTGTGTCTACTCTTCAACTGTTTGGCTACATTGAGAAAACAAACTTAGAAAAGTATGCAGTATTACTTCCATTCAGAATAGTCCCATCTTCATAGAGAACTGTTTTCTGCCTTTTTACAACAAAAGTCATCGTCAGTATTATTTGACTGGAGACATTCGTGAAAAGTGTATTTTTTCAACTCAGGAATATACACTTTAGACTGGCTAGGCTACTCTAAAGTGGCCTAGCCGGTACTTTAAAATGAGACCAGACCTGGACCAACACTGAGGGCTATGGGAAGACCTTGGGTAGTCCTCAGAACAAATCAAAATTTTCTTCTGACTTTGAATAAAAGTAATTGTCAAGTTATAATAGCGTTGGAGTATACACGCGGCGCATGAGGAGCTGTATATGGTCCCAATCCTCCACCAGAAAAGTCACATATGGCAAATTTATGAAACGTGTTTAAGCCCAAAAATGTGTACCAAAGTGACTTGAGCTTTGTTTTTGCTCTAATTCTACATTCCTTGCACTTATCCATCAATTACCTTTACAATCAGAAACTGTGCAATTCTATTTATTTGGCTTTTTCCCCATTTCCAAAAGATGCTCTCTGACCAGTCCACCCAGTCTTAAATGCTTTCTGGCCAGTTCACCCACTTAATCTCAGTGTTACAGCTCATGTGTTCCGTTGTATGTAGCCAGTGTTTTTAAATAAAGCTCGAATCGGTGAAACACTTCCTGTGTCTTGTCTTATTTTGGATAATTATAATGATTGTGAATGTAACAGACAGATCCTCTAATCCCTCTAATGAACTAAGCTTTGAATTTTATTTAAAAATTCAAAATCAGAAATGGTGCCTCCACATGTTTAGACCTGACTCTGGGCACCATCAGTCGGCCAGTCCCTGTGCTGAAGTAAATCTGGTCCATAATGAGGTTGATGAGATAAAAACACTCAATCAATCAAAATGTAAGCAAAGCAACTGTATTTGTATAGCATAGTTAATACACAAGGAAACTCAAAGCCCTAAAACAAAAAACTTGATATGAAATTGTGTGTTCTGTCACATCTGGGCTTAATGCTGGGGTATCTAACTTAATAGTCTTAAGTTCCTGGCTCAAACAGTTAATCTCTTGTTTCACATGCATATATGTTTGGCCTCTGTCACTCTGTCTTTAGATAATCTTTTTTAGACAGAATAGTGACATGAAGCTTACCGCAAATTCAGAATGGAAGACCAAAGAGGCGACACTGACTCCTCCCTCTGCGCACCAGCTCCAGAGCTCAACAGCAATCCACTTCAGCTGCTCAGTAACACATCTGTCCTCATCACTTCATGGCTGCATTTAATCGGAGCCTCTCAGTTCTCTGCAGCTCAAGCTGCTGTTCAAGCAGCAACCCACCTCCTCCCCATCACCGCCTCTTCAGTGGCGTGTCATGTCATGTCTTTGGCTGAGCCTCTTTGCCACCAGGTTCTAGACCCCGGGGGTGGCAAACTCATAATTCCTATTAAACTCCCTTCTTCATATGTCATGCAGTATTCCTGTTGGGTCTAATCACCAATCCAAATGCCATACATTTATTAAAACTAAATCTACAGCAAGTCTGCGTGTGTCTATTCATGCATCTTAATAATAAATATTCTAATGCAATCTTTGTCTCAAGTCTCTCCAGATTGAAATGGACAAGACCACCCTCACTCAGCCAATCAGCTCTGTGTGTAAAAGACAACATATATTCACAGCTGAAAAACATGCTGTTTACTGATAAGTCAGATTCCAGTCTTTGTTTAGCTAACTTTTAAATTTCAGAAACAATCCAGATGAAACAAAAATGGTCACACTGGTCTCTCTTTCTCCCTGAACTCTCTCTGGAGGGTCTTTGGTCTCTCTCTGGTCTTTCTCTCTGGACCAGGTTCCATCCAGAGCTAAGCGTTGTGATCCTGCTGTTCTGGTCTGGATAGTGGGTCCAGGTCTGCAAACAGGTTCAGCCAGTCCGTGAGTGGCTTGGGACGTCCACTGGCGTCTGATGAGAAACAAAATATTTGATATGTGTCAAATATGGCTGTAATGCCTCTTTAACACCACAAAAATGACATCTGACTAAATCCATGTAACTTGTAGCTCTAAAACAGTTTGCTTCTATTGCTATCAACTTATATGTAAATTTAGTCTCCTCCAGATCAGTAATCGTTTGTGTCACAATCTCAAACCACGGCTTAAATCCATGGTTTCGCACTCTCTGTGATCCTGGTGTTTATATTGTGAGATTCTTTGTAAATCCAGATATGAACCATACGAGGATTGCTCCTACTTTTACGGGGGAAACTCCAGCTTGCCCTAACAACTTTCTTAGCAATATGTCTGCCCCTGTTATAGCTTAAAGCTAACGCCGTTGGAATAAATACTTATACAGTGGGGCACAGAAGCATTTAAACAGCCAACAATCACTGAGACAATTTCTTTAGTTTTGTCCGGCAACCATAGTGAGAGGATGCAGTTTGTTGTTATCTCCGCTCCCTCCACTCCACTTGTTTTTTTGGGACATCCCTGGCTAGTAAGACACTGTTGCAAGTAGGGGGGCTTCAGACTCAACATGAACTGGAAAAGCTGGATCTGTCCTCTGTCCCCACAGTCTACCATGACCTCATAAGAATCGGGCTCTCTCACTTCTCAAAACCAGAAAGGGAGGCCCTGGAGGACTACATCAGAACCTCTCATGCTGCTGGGATAATTAGGCAGTCTTTCTCACCTGTGGGTTTTTTGATAGAAAAAACAAAACACTGAGACCATGTATAGACTAAAGGGGCCTCAACAGTATTAGTAGAGTTAGTAATAAATACCCTTTGCCACTTATTGACTCCGCCTTCACCCCTTGCGAGGAGCTTGTGTTAGCTAAGCTGGATCTCAGAAATGCTTACCACTTCTGATATTTTGATTGGCCAGTCATTACAACATACGCTCTATGGGTGGACACTTAAGGTGGCATGTGATTGGTCATAGTAAAAACAAGCACATAACACATGACTTACACAAAAACAAACTCCTTGTGATATGGATACAGCACCAATGGATGTTGTGAAGCAGATATATTTGGTCTCTCTCTGTTTGGACAAACCTGCAGCGTGTAGAGTGGACAAGCTCTGGTCCAGCAGCTCAGACGGGAGAAAGAAGTCCTCCCTCTCCTTTCTCTTTTCCCTCTCCTCCCTCTCTTCTGTCTTCTCTCCCTCCTCTGCTGAAGGACCCTGACTCCAGTCCCCAGGGTCCAGACTCAGGGGCCCCAGGATGTCATTGAGCAGAGCCACACTGTCCAGCTCGTCTCCCTCCGCCTGCGACCTAGATCCCTGCTCTGAAACGTAGACACCATGAGGGTCTCTCATGGAGGGTGCAGGAGGAGGATACTGTTGTAGACGTTACCTTCTCTGGTGTCGAGCTTTTCCTGTTCATATTCAGGTGGGAGATGTCTGTGAAAATAGTTTAATTTGAGAACTGATGCTCCCTTATCTTTAACAGGTACTTCAGACGATGAGTCTCTCTGGTCTCTCTTGTCTTTCTGGTGTGTGTCTCTGTATAGTCCTTCTCTCTGCTATATTTGTCATCGTCTGATCTAAAACCATAGCTTATACACAGATGGACTTTGCTAACCTGCTAGCTCAATAAAACCCAATAGGAAAGTTCTCATTTTCCTCAGGATCAAAAAGGTCAGGGAACGTACTGTTCGGTCGTCTCGTTGCCGTGTACCGGTCTCCTCTTGGTCTTGGTCCTTCGCCTCGTCTCCGTTCGGCCCTTAGACTCCTGACAGAAGTAGTAAACAAGCTCTGAATCTCCTGTAATGATGTGTACAGGAGACTGAGAGAGATGACACTGGTGACACTGGTGACACTGGTGTAATGTTCAGGACAGTCTGAAAGTGTCTGTGAGTGTGTGCAGAAACAGAGGAGGGAGAGAAAGGGGTGGAGAGGGGAGAGGGAGACCAGAGGGATGGACCAGAGGGATGGACCAGAGGGAGACCAGAGGGATGGACCAGAGGGATGGACCAGAGGGATGGACCAGAGGGATGGACCAGAGGGAGACCAGAGGGATGGACCAGAGGGATGGACCAGAGGGAGACCAGAGGGATGGACCAGAGGGATGGACCAGAGGGATGGACCAGAGGGAGACCAGAGGGATGGACCAGAGGGATGGACCAGAGGGAGACCAGAGGGATGGACCAGAGGGATGGACCAGAGGGAGACCAGAGGGATGGACCAGAGGGAGACCAGAGGGATGGACCAGAGGGATGGAACAGAGGGATGGAACAGAGGGATGGACCAGAGGGATGGACCAGAGGGATGGACCAGAGGGATGGACCAGAGGGATGGACCAGAGGGAGACCAGAGGGATGGACCAGAGGGATGGAACAGAGGGATGGAACAGAGGGATGGAACAGAGGGATGGAACAGAGGGATGGACCAGAGGGAGACCAGAGGGATGGACCAGAGGGATGGACCAGAGGGAGACCAGAGGGATGGACCAGAGGGATGGACCAGAGGGATGGACCAGAGGGATGGACCAGAGGGATGGACCAGAGGGATGGAACAGAGGGATGGACCAGAGGGATGGACCAGAGGGATGGACCAGAGGGATGGACCAGAGGGATGGACCAGAGGATCGACCAGAGGATCGACCAGAGGGTGGACCAGAGGATGGACCAGAGGATCGACCAGAGGATGGACCAGAGGGATGGACCAGAGGATGGACCAGAGGGATGGACCAGAGGATCGACCAGAGGGATGGACCAGAGGATGGACCAGAGGGATGGACCAGAGGATGGACCAGAGGATGGACCAGAGGATGGACCAGAGGGATGGACCAGAGGGATGGACCAGAGGGATGGACCAGAGGGATGGACCAGAGGATCGACCAGAGGATGGACCAGAGGGATGGACCAGAGGATCGACCAGAGGATGGACCAGAGGATGGACCAGAGGATGGACCAGAGGATCGACCAGAGGATGGACCAGAGGGATGGACCAGAGGATGGACCAGAGGATGGACCAGAGGGATGGACCAGAGGGATGGACCAGAGGGAGACCAGAGGATGGACCAGAGGGACATGCATGCAAAAACTAGTGATAGAATGAGATTGGAATGTAACTTCAGTCATCATTTTGGTAAATCATGTGTGGCTAAATTATATACTGTATGCTAAAATTCACTTTGGTGCTCTCTGAGAGAGCCCACATGGAGGGCTTTAAGGGGGAGGGCCTTGTCACATTGTCTTTTTGTTGTCTATTGGTTCTTCTTCCTGTGTACGGTGTGTCTTATCTCCTGATATACTGCTTTGCAGCCTGACTAAGGTCAGACATGTTTGTGGACACGAGGCTGAGCCATTTATATGGTGAATGATGAGGTTGTAATATTTCCTTCTCGTATTGGGATGTAAACAGATCACCTGTGTTAATGTAAACAGATCACCTGTGTTAATGTAAACAGGTCACCTGTGTTAATGTAAACAGATCACCTGTGTTAATGTAAACAGTCACCTGTGTTAATGTAAACAGTCACCTGTGTTAATGTAACAGGTCACAGGTCACCCTGTGTTAATGTAAACAGGTCACCTGTGTTAATGTAAACAGATCACCTGTGTTAATGTAAACAGGTCACCTGTGTTAATGTAAACAGGTCACCTGTGTTAATGTAAACAGGTCACCTGTGTTAATGTAAACAGATCACCTGTGTTAATGTAAACAGGTCACCTGTGTTAATGTAAACAGGTCACCTGTGTTAATGTAAACAGGTCACCTGTGTTAATGTAAACAGGTCACCTGTGTTAATGTAAACAGGTCACCTGTGTGGACTCGTTGCTCTCAAAGCTCTCGTGGATGGCAGCCATCGTCCTTGACGTCTTTCCCCAGATGTGCAGGAGCGTGCTCTGAAACAAGAGTCTGAGGGTCATAATCCATGTCAATACACTGGACGTCTTCCATTTGGAAATGTTTGAAAGTAAGATGGAAAAGTCATGTTTTAAATCAGACCCTCAGCTCGCTGTTTCCAATTTATATTTTCATATACAGTATGTAAATCCAGATATGAGCCATATACAGATTGACCTTTCAGAAGGCTACTCTGATTGGTCCCTCTCCTACTCTACTCTACTCTACTCTACTCTACTCTACTCTACTCTACTCTACTCTACTCTACTCTACTCTACTCTACTCTACTCTACTCTACTCTACTCTACTCTACTCTCGTCCCTCTTGGCCCTGGGTCTATCCAGGTCGAGCTAGTACTAAAGTGTTCTAAATGACAGCGAGAGTGCTGCTCAATCACTGAAGTCATGGTTCCTAAGGAATTTCCCTGGATACCAGTTTGTTGTGGGTAGGTTGCAAGGATTTAGTACCTGAAGCATTATGTAAACACAACCAGATAGAGACGAGCAGTGTAGAGTAGGGATGGTAAAAATGGGGTTAAAGTTACAAATGGACCCACATCTGTAAAATGAAGAGTACCTGGTAGGCGGTCAGCAGGTGGGACAGCAGGTTACAGCGGCTGGCGCCCAACATGTCAACCTTCTGACAGACGTCTCTCCTGAGGCCGTCGAAGCTGCTCTTGGTGCTCCTCACCTCAGCCTGAACCTGAGAGCGAAACACTCTCTGTATAAGGCCTGTATGTGACGGTGTAACTGTCCCACAGACTCCATACAGATGCACAATGCTAACCTGCTAGCTCAATGAAAATCAACAGGGAAGTGCTCATGCCCATAGTGACGTTTGGCTCCAACTTGCTCTGGCTCCTAAACACTTACATGTAAAAGTAAACTCATCTAGTTCAGTAACCGGTAGGGCTGGGCGATATGGCAAAAAAGTAAAATCTCGATTTTATTTCCTGCTTTGGACGATTTCGATTTTAAATCAATTTTCATCAAAGTTTGCCCTTAAAAATATGTTTTGATCTTTGTAGGGTAATAATATTACTGTAAGCTATAAATTGTAAGAGAAGAATAGTGCGGCTAGTCTCCAAATCAGAGTCTGGCCGTCCTATTCGAGTGGGGGATCTGCTTTTATTTTTAGGGCACCAGCAGAGTTACTTCTGCGCAGATCCAACTAACTTTGCCTCGAATCAGTCTTATAATCTAATAGGTAGTGAATGCGTATATCAGCCAGAGATATCCAAGACTTAACAACACGACTCTGATATGATTGAGTTAAAAGTAAAGGGGTTTTATTGACTACAAAAATGAAGATAGAAAATATAACGAAGGGGATTTCTGGTCACATTAAACAGAAGTTGTATACATCTCATTTGAAACACACACTCAACAGGGAACAGTCTTACTTTTGAGGAGCGTAGAGGATGAAGAAAGGATTTGGAATGGGAAGAGCCCACGTGGTTTCTTTGTCTGGGCAGGCGGGATATACGAAGCCAGCGATACAGTCCAACTTTGATCCACGCGTATGCAACTCAGTCCGGAATGGGTTGCGTGCGTAGGGTCCAGAGCCAGGAAGAGAGGCTGATGGTGTAACAGTTCGTAAGATCCCGAGCCAGGGAGGAGGGCTGTGTTGCGGAGTAGAAGGCCCAATGCGTGCAGGCGCGGCCGCAGTAGGAGACGCGTACCGCGAGACACGGAGGGCAGGGAAGCTGCAATGGTGATTTCAGGGAAGGACAAGAGGCCGTTCTGTTGCATTGTGTGTGTTTATATTGACTTCTACAGGGGGCGCGTCCGTGACGTCATCCATGTGCGACAACCCTCTCACAACAGGCAGTTTACAAGGGAAACACACAAGATTAATACAGACGACCATAGCACATTGTACAAACACACACATTACTCGACAATGATACACACATGTAGGGCACGGTACAGACGTATTGGGATAATACAGAGTCCGGAGCTGGTCTACACCATGTCCGTGCCGGGTGTGATAGTGTTCAGTGTCCACTGGGGGGCGCCAGAACGCCGCGGGTGAGTCCCAGGTTTGTGGAATGTTCCATGAGCGATAGTGGGTGAATGATACCTGATCTCTGTCAGGCAGAAGGGCACACCGATGTTTGTCCTGCTGGTTTATTGCCCTCTGTCTGTCTCCTTGCAGGGTCCTGGCAGATGTTTAGCCTTTCATTGAACTCGTAGTTTCTTTGAAGTTCTCCGGAGCTCGGGAGGGGCATGTTTACGAAAAGGGCTGTTATTCACACTCGACTGGAGCCTGCCCTCTTTCTCACCTTACATCTTTCAGCTCAATAATCAAGTTTCCAAACCATTTTTATTTGGTTTCCTCCAATACATATTATAAAAGTCTTGCACAGACTGTGCTGATATTGCAAGTATAGTTCATGTGCTGCTGGAACTCTCACAATGTCCTTCAATCGATTTCACATTTTTCAAGAATTAAATTTTTTCAAAAGCCGATTAATTGCCTAAATTTGATTTATTGCCCAGCCCTAGTAACCGGTGTGTATTTATGTGTAGCAATGTGATATTGTCTGTGGGAGCCATTGGTCCATAAGGAGTGGGTTAATCACTGTCCAGAAACAGTAATGCATGTCATAAACCCAGAGGGGATAATGTGAGAAACCTCGGGGAGGCCCATTTTGAGAGAGGCGACTGACCTGTATTCCCTGTTGGATTGGTCCTTACCCTCCTGAACTGGTCCATGTGATTGTCTGTGTCGGGGTCCAGCTCTCGGGACACATCCTTCATCCACAGCAGGGCCCCGCTGTACTCCGTGCGGCTCTGCTCCATGCGGTTCACCGTCAGCCACGTGTCGGAGATGGCCCGGTACCGGAATGTTTCCACCTCCTGGTACAGGCGCAGCAGGGGGGGGCGCAGGGCCATTCTTTCAGAGACCGGGACACAGGGTCACAGTCAGACTTTCTGCTATAATACCATTTTTGAGAGCCTCAGAGAGGGCTAGGGTTTTAGAGGAACAGCCAAATAAGATAGGGCAGGGGTTACGGTTTAGCTCTAACTGTTTAATGTAAATCTAAAATTGAAAGCTTATCAAAACTGCCATGACAGTCTTGGAAAGGAATATCTCTGCATAAAGCATCACCAAACAGCCTTTATCCCACTTACTGCACAGTGAGTATGAGCGTTTGCCCTCAGGGGGGCGCTATCAATCTTTTCAGCACCAAAGCAACAGATTTAAATGTTTTTTTGTTCCAGCGTCTGTCACTCAGCTCCATAAAAGCAGATCACTTCAGAACAGTCTCCTACAGCAGGTGCAATGTTCCATCACTCCCATGTTTCTCCTTTTCTCCAAACAATGCTTTTTAGTGCACTACATAAGCACTTTGTATGGGCATGTGCTATGTACTCCATTCACCTGCACTGCTCTAGCACTTTGGACCATGTGTGTACCTAGTTGTTTATTTTGTAAATACTGTTTTGAACTGTGGTCTTTAACTGGTTTGTTGATTTGTATCCTGGCTCCACGACTACAGACCTGTAGCACTTACGTCTGTCGTTATGAAGTCATTTGAACGCCTGGTTCTCTCCCATCTCAAGTCCCTCACCTCCCCCCTCCTGGACCCCCTGCAGTTTGCCTACAGAGCCAACAGATCTGTAGACGACGCCATTAACCTGGCCCTCCACCACATCCTACAGCACCTGGACTCCCCGGGGACCTACGCCAGGGTCCTGTTCGTGGACTTCAGCTCTGCCTTCAACACAATCCTGCCATCCCTGCTCCAGGACAAGCTCTCCCAGCTCAACGTGCCCGATTCCACCTGCAGGTGGATCACTGACTTCCTGTCGGACAGGAAGCAGCGAGTGCGTCTGGGGAAGAATGTCTCGGACTCTCGGATTATAAATACAGGAGCCCCACAGGGCTGTGTTCTTTCTCCCCTGCTCTTCTCCCTGTACACCAACCACTGCACCTCCAGCCACGACTCCGTGAAGCTGATCAAGTTCGCGGACGACACCACCCTCATTGGACTCATCTCCAACAACGATGAGTCCGCCTACAGGAGGGAGGTGGACCGGCTGGTGTCCTGGTGTCTCCTACAGGAGGGAGGTGGACCGGCTGGTGTCCTGGTGTCTCCTACAGGAGGGAGGTGGACCGGCTGGTGTCCTGGTGCAGTGGTAACAACCTGGAGCTGAACGCCCAGAAGACAGTGGAGATGATTGTGGACTTCAGGAAGAGCACTGTCCCCCCGCCCCCACCCTCCGTGATGGACTCCCCCATCACCTCTGTGGAGTCCTTCTGTTTCCTGGGCACCACCATCACCCAGGACCTCAAGTGGGAGCCGACCATCAGCTCCCTCATCAAGAAGGCCCAGCAGAGGATGTACTTCCTGCGGCAGCTCAGGAAAGCCAAGCTGCCTGCACAGATGTTGGTGCAGTTCTACACGGCCATCATCGAGTCCATCCTCACCACCTCCATCACCTCCTCCATCACCTCCTCCATCACCTCCTCCATCACCGTGTGGTTCGCTGGAGCCACAGTCAGGGACAAACAGAGACTACAGCGCATTGTGCGCTCTGCAGAGGAAGTGATCGGCCGCAGCCTTCCATCGCTGCAGGACCTGTACGTCGCCCGAGCTCGAGGCCGGGCTGGTCGTATCACAGCCGACCCCTCTCACCTGCACATGGACTATTCCAACCACTCCCCTCTCACCTGCACATGGACTATTCCAACCACTCCCCTCTCACCTGCACATGGACTATTCCAACCACTCCCCTCTCACCTGCACATGGACTATTCCAACCACTCCCCTCTCACCTGCACATGGACTATTCCAACCACTCCCCTCTCACCTGCACATGGACTATTCCAACCACTCCCCTCTCACCCTGCACATGGACTATTCCAACCACTCCCCTCTCACCCTGCATATGGACTATTCCAACCACTCCCCTCTCACCTGCACATGGACTATTCCAACCACTCCCCTCTCACCTGCACATGGACTATTCCAACCACTCCCCTCTCACCTGCATATGGACTATTCCAACCACTCCCCTCTCACCCTGCACATGGACTATTCCAACCACTCCCCTCAGGCAGGAGGCTGCGGTCCATCAGGACTAGAACCTCCCGCCACAAGAACAGTTTCTTCCCCTCTGCTGTTGGACTCTTGAACACTTCTTAACCTGTCCCCGCCCTTTATAAAGTCACTTTACTGCCCATCATACGTCACTTTACTTCACTGTACTGCTGTCACCTTACATTGTGTGAACCATGTGCACTTGTATATTGTAAATAGTAACTGTAACTCTATTTTAAATTTAAATGTATTCTTTAGAAGTGTTTTTTATTCTTATTTTTATTATCTCTTTCTGACTGTTGCACTGAGCCAAAGCAATTTCCAAGTCTGTGACCTCCTGTTACTTACGTGGCAATAAAAATGATTCTGATTCTGATTCTGATTCTAATGGGACTGTGCAGTAGTAGGGCCTATTCTTGTCCTGATGCTGAGTCTTGTGAGTTTAACAGCACCGGGAGCACTCACCTCTGCTGCGAGGAGAAGCACAGAGCCTTCCCTGTGGCCTGCATGATCTTTCCAGCTCGAGTCCTGTCCTGAGAGCCCTGAGAGCGCAGAAAGCGGCCCAGCTCCACCTCCTCCTGCGACAACACTGAGCACACCACACCTCATATGCAAATAGATAACATATTTTTTGGTGATGGTAGAGTATAGAGTAGGGTAGGACTGGTGGAAACTATTTTTGGGTCACATTAGCAGCCTAAAACGTGTGTATCAGAGTGTGGTGGAGCAGTGGCTGACCGCAGAGCTTCTTCTGGTACTGCTCGATGACCTTCAGGAGCTCCATACATGTCCTCTGGATGCAGTGGAACACCTGACAACGACACAACTTCTGTCATTGAAGCAGGGGTAAGGCAAGTTTATTTGTATAGCACAATTCATGCAAGGCAACTCAAAGTGCTGAACAAAACAACAAATAAACATTTAAATCAGAGACTGGCCTCCTGTTGGGACTTTTTTAATAATGTTTCTGCTCTTGTTTTGTTCAGCACTTTGATTGACGTGTGTATGAACCATACTATGCAAATAAACTTGCGCTCATGAACGGGAGATTCATCTTAAGAGATCCTTTATTCATCCCACAGTGGGGAATTTTCAGTGTTGCTTACCCAGTTATAGAACAGCAGGAATAGGATAAGAGAACAATAACTCTATATCAATAACTCAAGAGCATATTAAAGAAGCAAGTAGTACCTTTCTCACTGTAGCAGACTGAAGTCCAGTTTTACCTCCAATTTGGCGTCCAGCTCAGCGTCAGAGCCCACCACGCCCTCGTCCTGTCTCTGCCGGGTCACGGTGAGGAGGGTCTGCCTGGTCTGCCAGTACCTCTGCTGGAAGCGCCTCAGCACAGAGAACGAGCCCGGGCTCCCGTGGCCCCTGAGACAGACATAGGGGACACTGTGAGCTGAGGGCCAGCTCAGGTACAGAATAGGAGAGAGAGACTCACACGTTCACATGCTCCGGTTTCCAAGACGACCTGAAGAGACAAAACAGAGCCACATGGGAGATCTGTTAGAACCATAGACCGAACCAGAACGAGTCGGAGAAAAACTTTTTCCGCTTCTGAGTTACATTACTCTGAGTTACTTTTACTTTAAACACACAATTCCATTTTTGTTTTAATTAAAAACACTAATAATAACAAGCCACAGACAGAAGAGAGGCAACCAGTTGGTCCACCACCACCAACTATTCACACACACTCCAGACTCATTCTAATATGCACTATTACTAATACAGTACGTGCTTATGTGTGTGTATGCGTGCGTGCGTGCGTGTAGCGTGTGCACTGCGAGCATAGAGCAGATGTAAACACGCTCACATTCCGTAGCTCCGCTGTCCGCCCGGTCCTGTCTCAGCCTGGTCCTGCCTCAGCCCGGTCCTGTCTCAGCCTGGTCCTGGCTCAGCCCGGTCCTGTCTCAGCCTGGTCCTGCCTCAGCCCGGTCCTGCCTCAGCCTGGTCCTGCCTCAGCCCGGTCCTGGCTCAGCCTGGTCCTGGCTCAGCCCGGTCCTGCCTCAGCCCGGTCCTGCCTCAGCCCGGTCCTGCCTCAGCCCGGTCCTGCCTCAGCCTGGTCCTGTCTCAGCCCGGTCCTGTCTCAGCCCGGTCTCAGCCCGGTCCTGTCTCAGCCCGGTCTCAGCCCGGTCCTGCCTCAGCCTGGTCCTGCCTCAGCCCGGTCCTGTCTCAGCCCGGTCCTGCCTCAGCCCGGTCCTGCCTCAGCCCGGTCCTGTCTCAGCCCGGTCCTGTCTCAGCCCGGTCCTGTCTCAGCCCGGTCCTGTCTCAGCCCGGTCCTGTCTCAGCCCGGTCCTGCCTCAGCCCGGTCCTGTCTCAGCCCGGTCCTGCCTCAGCCCGGTCCTGTCTCAGCCCGGTCCTGTCTCAGCCCGGTCCAGGCTCAGCCCGGTCCTGTCTCAGCCCGGGCCTGGCTCAGCCTGGTCCTGTCTCAGCCCGGTCCTGTCTCAGACCGGGCCTGGCTCAGCCCGGTCCTGTCTCAGCCTGGTCCTGCCTCAGCCCGGTCCTGTCTCAGCCTGGTCCTGGCTCAGCCCGGTCCTGTCTCAGCCTGGTCCTGCCTCAGCCCGGTCCTGCCTCAGCCCGGTCCTGTCTCAGCCTGGTCCTGGCTCAGCCCGGTCCTGCCTCAGCCCGGTCCTGCCTCAGCCCGGTCCTGCCTCAGCCCGGTCCTGCCTCAGCCTGGTCCTGTCTCAGCCCGGTCCTGTCTCAGCCCGGTCTCAGCCCGGTCCTGCCTCAGCCTGGTCCTGCCTCAGCCCGGTCCTGCCTCAGCCCGGTCCTGTCTCAGCCCGGTCCTGTCTCAGCCCGGTCCTGTCTCAGCCCGGTCCTGTCTCAGCCCGGTCCTGGCTCAGCCTGGTCCTGTCTCAGCCCGGTCCTGTCTCAGCCCGGTCCTGTCTCAGCCTGGTCCTGTCTCAGCCCGGTCCTGTCTCAGCCCGGTCCTGGCTCAGCCTGGTCCTGTCTCAGCCCGGTCCTGTCTCAGCCCGGTCCTGGCTCAGCCCGGTCCTGTCTCAGCCCGGTCCTGGCTCAGCCTGGTCCTGTCTCAGCCCGGTCCTGGCTCAGCCCGGTCCTGTCTCAGCCCGGTCCTGGCTCAGCCTGGTCCTGTCTCAGCCCGGTCCTGTCTCAGCCCGGTCCTGGCTCAGCCCGGTCCTGTCTCAGCCCGGTCCTGGCTCAGCCTGGTCTTCTCTGTGTTGTTCTGATCTACATATATACTGTACATCTGTGTCCTCAGCTGCCGCTGACGTCACGCACGCTGTCCACGCCGCCCCGCCCTGCGCAAACACACTAATGACCACAACAAAGGGGCGGAGCTTCTGTAGACCGTTCGTTAGCATCAGTAGTTATTGTATATGAATGACACAGAGCCTACAACAGCAGCAAGTGTTAATACCAACACATCCCTTCTTTTATTTTAATGTATTTAATGTTCAGACTAGAACTAAATACATGGACGTCGGAACTATTTTCTGAGAGGGGGGGCGGGTTTTTGTTGGGAGAGTCGAGGGAGAGACTCATACTTGGATTACACTGGATAATAACATACCATCTTAATTGTTAAGAAAAACAAAATAAACAATATATATCAAGCGAGTCACTTATCAAACTGAACTTTTTTTTTTTCAATACGCATTCATGCGTCAGTCTCTCCGGTGGCTTCGTTGTGTTGTGTAGCCCAGTGACGGGAGGAGACACCCGTTTTTTTTACTTTTTAAAACTCATTGAACTTATTTCCAAATGGAGGATTACATGTCTGTGCTCAAACTATTATCTGGACTTAAACATGAAACTGGTCCTAACTGAAGTGGTCTGTGCTGTTCATTAATACCTAAGGTAAGGCCCATAACACACTTTGTACTTTTTACAAACGTTTGCGTTTTGTATGAGAAAACAATGCAGACATTAAATCATATTCTGCTGTAGCCAAACAAATTGTGTATAAGCCGCTCCTGTTCCTGTAGGTCCTGTTGGTTTATATGATGTATAATCATATGAACACATGATTGATCCCCCACCGCACGTCACTGGTGTAGCCAGGTCTCTAATCTGCGCAAGGCTGAGAAAGAGCGCTCAGAGGCTGCGACAGATATTAGCCAGACAGAGCTTCATAAGCTTCTCCGACAGCATGGAGCGGGTTTTGGGCTGCAAGGAACGCAGGATAGTGATAACTTCTCGCTCCCGGCACACGCGCACCCCTAGTTCCGACGTCTATGACTAAATATACGTCTCTGTCTAATGTTTTAATGTGTCTGAAATATATATTGATTGCGTGAACCCAAAGTAATAACCCCATCTTTGTGCATGGATAGTTTTTTTACGATTTAAAATTATGAAACCATTGCGATACCAACATGAATGCAGTTCCCCGTGTGTCCAGCTGATGGCAGTGTCAGCCTGTAGTGTCACATACAGGAGCCTCCTTCCTCATCCTCGTCTTCTCCTTGACAATAGTCTCTGAGGCTTAAACTTGGTCTCAAAGTGCAAACCTATTACGGCTCTTTATTTACGCCGTTATAGTAATCTTCAATATTAACACATGACCAGAAATAGCAGCTCTTCTCTAAATCACGACAGCAGGACTTTACAAAGTTGTGGATTCGCCAACAGTTCAAACACAGGAAAAGCAATAGGTCCATAGGGAGTGAGATAACCCCTGTCCAGAAATGTTGATAGATCATCACTGTCCTGCATCCAACGAAACCACTCAGAAACCCTGTGGGGAAAATGGACCTAGGACTGAGGCTGTACATCCAAGACTGAGGCTATAGATCCAGGACTGAGCTAGTCTGTAGATCCAGGACTGAGGCTGTAGACCCAGGACTGAGGCCGTAGATCCAGGACTGAGGCCGTAGATCCAGGACGGAGGCCGTAGATCCAGGACTGAGGCCGTAGATCCAGGACTGAGGCTGTAGATCCAGGACTGAGGCTGTAGATCCAGGACTGAGGCTGTAGATCCAGGACTGAGGCCGTAGATCCAGGACTGAGGCTGTAGATCCAGGGCTGAGGCTGTAGATCCAGGACTGAGGCCGTAGATCCAGGACTGAGGCTGTAGATCCAGGGCTGAGGCTGTAGATCCAAGACTGAGGTTGTAGATCCAGGACTGAGGCTGTAGACCCAGGACTGAGGCTGTAGATCCAGGACTGAGGCCGTAGATCCAGGACTGAGGCCGTAGATCCAGGACTGAGGCTGTAGATCCAGGGCTGAGGCTGTAGATCCAAGACTGAGGTTGTAGATCCAGGACTGAGGCTGTAGACCCAGGACTGAGGCTGTAGATCCAGGACTGAGGCCGTAGATCCAGGACTGAGGCCGTAGATCCAGGACTGAGGCTGTAGAATTTTTATTTTATTTTATTTAACCTTTATTTAACCAGGAAAAATCCCATTGAGATTAAGAATCTCTTTTTCAAGGGAGTCCTGGCCAAGAGGCAGCAAAGTTACACATAAACACAACAGATAGATACAATTACATTAAAAAATGACAGATATACAGACTAAACACATCAAGTAAAACACTTACTGGTGATTGAGGCAGTCTCGAAAACTCTGAGTTTTGATTTAAAAGCATTCAAAGACAAAAGCTCGGCCAGTTTCCAGTCTCGCTGGAGCATGTTCCAAGAGGAGGGGCTGCATGGACAAAAGCTCTTTTTCCAAACTCTGTGCGGACAAAAGGCACAGTAAGTAACAGCTGCTCATTGGACCTCAGAGCATAAGACTCTGTGCTCCTCTGTGTGAGTAATGTACAGAGGTAAGAGGGCAGGAGCCCCAGAAGAGCCTTGTAAATAAAGGTGTACCAATGACACTGCCTCCTAGTGGACAGGGAGCGTACAGCTCACAGTGTCAGAGCTCCACAGTTTGTGATGAACCTCAGGGAGGCATGATAAATAGAGTCCAGCTTTTGAAGACACAAAGAGGTAGCATTCATATAAAAAAGGTCACCATAATCTAAGACGGATAAAAAAGTGACAGAGACAAGGCGCCTTTTAACCCCAAAAGAAAACATGTCTTATTTCGAAAGAAAAAACCCAGCTTAATTTTTAATTTCTTCACAAGTGCATCAATAAAAGGTTTAAAAGTGAGGGCGTCATCAATTATAACTCCTAGGTATTTGTGTTCATGCACCACTTCAATGACATTCCCCTCAAGAGTGGACCCCACTGGGGGAGCTGGAGGTAGCTTCTTATGTTTTGAAAAAAGCATTAGCTTTTTCTTGTCAGCATTGAGACGTAGTTTTAGATTCAACAAAGAATTGTGAACAGAAACAAAGGCTTTCAGCAGAGAATCAACAGCCTGCTCAAGTGATGATCCAACGCAATAAATAATAGTATCATCAGCATAAAAATGTCTGTTTGCATCAAGAACATCTTGTTCAACATTGTTGATGTACAAGATGAATAAAAGGGGCCCCAAAACAGATCCCTGTGGCACCCCCTTGTGGACCGTAACAAATTCAGAGCAAAGGTCCTCATGTTTTATACACTGGGTCCTTTTTTGTAAATAATATGTAATGTAAAGAATCTAACATGGTGTGATGGAATTACAGGGAACTGCCTAAAATGTTGGTATTTCGTCCCTCAGAATTTATCTATAGGCTTATAAGTTATAACCATACACTGATTATGACTTTTAATCACAAATTCGAGAGAGGTTTTAGCACAGAAACTGGAATATTTAAAAAAATATCACAATATATACACCAAGATCACAGAGAGCGCCAGCCCACCTGAGTGTGACACAGACGGTTACTGAGCTCAAGGAGTTTACTTTTACCGGTAGGTCACTAGTCGCCAGAGAGAGTTAGTCCATGCTGGCGAGGGGTTATACTATGTGAAAAAGGTTGGGAGCCACTGCTTTAAAGTCAGGAAAGACCTATTTGTTGTGAATCCTGGTGCAGCGTTAGTTCTGGCGCTCGCAGCCTTCATCAGCAGCTCATCCTCCTCATCCTCCTCTGCTCCAAACCCATGTCTCTGTCACCTGCAGGGAGCTGGTGTCATGCTCCAAAAGGGATCAGTGTGTGTGTGTGTGTGTGTGCGTGTGTGTGCTTCTGTGTGTGTGTGTGTGTGCTTCTGTGTGTGTATATGTGTGTGTGTGTGTGTGTGTATGTGTGTATGTGTGCTTCTGTGTGTGTTTGTGTGTGTCTGTGTGTGTGTGTGTGTGTGTGTGTGTGTGTGTGTGTGCACTTGTTTTCAACTCCTGGTGGGTTCCATAACCTGAGATTCCACTCACGTCATGGGGACTGGTTTTACGTGGTGGGGCCCGAACACCGGACCCCACTGGTCCAAGCTTAATAATCAATGGGTAATGCTTTTCTAACGGTCCTTATGCAGTCTCTGTAAAAATATGGAAAGGACCCCTGGAGGTTTACTTTCCTGAAAAAAGTGTGTTATGTGTCGGAACCCTGGTGGTGGGTTGCGGGATATCAAGGAGGGGCACACTGGGGCAATTTCAGTCCAGCAGGCTGGAGCCAATCATGGAGCAGCACAACAGAGGAAATCAGGTGTCAGGCTAGAAAAAGGTGCAAGTGTGTGGTTCATTAGGCTGCAGGAAATCATGGAGAGCACACTGAAGCGCACGCTTACAAACCACTGGTAAGTGCTGACTACAAGTCATGACTTCAAATTGTTATATAGAATGATTACAAATTATTTGTTGTTTGTGCAGCTTAGTCAAGAGTCCCTAATTGATGAAGTCGACTCAGATTCTGACGATTTAACTGTCAAGAAGAAACCTGTAAAAAAGTATGGAAAAAGAAAAATCAAAAACACTTTTCTTCAAGACTCGGAAAGTGACGAACCAAAGGCAAATAAGATTGTTATCATGCAGCTGCAAAAGAAGAAAAATGGGGGGCGAGTTTATAGCAAGAGACACTTCTGCCTCTACTGTTCAATGTCCTGCCACAAAATGTCCCGTCATTTGACTAGAAAACATGGAAATGAAAGTGACGTAGCCAGAGCATTGGCTCTACCTGTGAAATCTAAAGCACGTAAACTTCAGTTTGATTTGATCAGGAATAGTGGAAACCGTGAGCACAATTTTGAGGTTTTAAAGGCCGGCATTGGAACTTTAGTCCCAGCTAAACAGCCAAATTCCCCAGTTAAATCCAGTGAGTTTTTGCACTGTATAGACTGTGGGGCATTGCTTAAGCGAAAGTCGCTGTGGAGGCATGTGGCCAGGTGCCGGCTTTCACAGAAAGATGCCCAGGCTAAACCAGGCTAAACCAGGTAGAAGTAGGGTCCAGTCCCTCTGCTCCCTAGCCCAGCCTGTACCGGAGGGCATCAGCAAAAAGCTGTGGTCTTTAATTTGGGCAATGCATCAGGATGAGGTCACGGGTGTTGTCAAAGCAGAAAAGGGGATTCTGAGACTCGGAGAGCACCTGTACTTAAAACACGGGCATGATAAGACTAAGCATGATTACATTAGGCAGAAAATGAGAGAAGTCGGTAGGTTAATTAACGAAGCAAAAACCGCAGGGAAACTGAAAACAATTAAGGATTTCTTTATTCCTTCCAACTTTAACCATGTGATTGATGCAGTCAGGTCTGTGGCTGGATATGATGAGGAAACAAATCAATACAAGACTCCATCCTTGGCCCTCAAACTCGGCCATAGCCTCAGAAAGCTAGCAGATATTCTTGAATGTGACTCAAAAATGGAGCATTGTGTTGATGAACTATTTATTAAAAACCTCCAACGAAGCCGGCTGCTTTTTGAGAAGAGGTGGGACGTCTGTGTTTCTTCTGCTGCCCTACAGACCCTCCGGCAAGCCAAGTGGAACACTCCGGACCTGCTCCCTCTGACTGAGGACGTTAGAGCCATGCATGCACATATTGAGGTATGTCGACCTGAATATGTGCAAACCCTAATAAGTGAGCCAACGTCTAAGCATTGGTCTAAACTGGCAGTTTTGACTCTTTGTGAGGTCATTATTTTCAATCGAAGAAGGGAAGGTAAGGTTTCAAAGATGCCACTGACAGCCTTTACCTTAAGAAGTAAGACTGGGATCCATTCTGACATTGCTCTGGGACTGACCCAACTTGAGAAAAAGCTGTGTCAGCATTTTCAACGCATTGAAATTAAAGGGAAAAGAAGTGGGAAAGTGGTGGTTCTTTTGACTCCTGAAATGATTGCTTCGATGGAGGTGCTGGTGGAGAACAGAAGGGCCTGTTCCATCTCTGACCATAACCCATACTTCTTTTCCCGCCCGGGCGCAGACACCCACATCAGGGGATCAGACTCCCTACGCCAGGTAGCCAAAGAATGTGGTGCGGTGCATCCAGAGATGCTATCCTCAACCAAACTTAGAAAGCACATAGCTACTATGTCTACAGTTCTCAATATGAAAGAGAATGAGATGGACATACTAGCCAACTTCCTCGGCCATGACATTCGCATCCACAGGCAATATTACAGACTACCAGAGGGGACACTGGAGCTGGCCAAAATCAGCAAAGTGTGATGGGCATGGAGCAGGGAAGAGTGACGGAATTCGAAGGAAAGAGCCTCGACCAGATACAAATTGAGCCTGAAGGTAATTCTTGATATTATTAAAATATGTATGATTTTTTTCCCCTAAAGGCCACTTGTATTTTTATTTTCTGTGCGACAGGGAGAGCAGTAGAGATCCTCTCACAAACGGACGGGCTAAAAGAAACTTCAAGCGGAGAACCTTCAACCATTCATCCAGATGCACCCCATGGTAGTGGCAGTGCCCCTTCTGGTAAGTGTACCAGGTGGGGGATTACAGCCAGGCTGCTTGGTCCTCACCCTGGGAGTGTATATTGCTAATATATTTTTATTTCTCTCCCTAGAACGTGTAAGAAAGCCATGGTCTGCATCTGAGGTGAAGGCTGTGGGAGAAGACCATGACACCTTTCATACAGACTGGAAAGGTCCCTGGGAAGTCTCACTGCCTGGCCTGGCCTGGCCTGGCCTGGCCTGGCCTGCATTAATGCCTCACCAGATGACCTTAGACATCGGACATGGAGTGGCATTAAATTCTATGTCAAAAATAGAATCACTGCAATTCGAAAAAAAAATCTAAAATAAAATTCCTTTAAAATAGTTGTTTGGTTTCTATTGACTGTTTTGTATTACTTAAAGTAGTCCCAGTAAAAAAAGATTATGTCTATGGGTCCCATTCTGAACGGCCCTGTCAAAGGGACCCACCAGGTAACAAAAACGTGTGTGTGTGTGTGTATGTGCGTGTATGTGCGTGTGTGTGCTTCTGTGTGTGTATGTGTGTGTGTGTGTGTATGTGCGTGTATGTGCTTCTGTGTGTGTGTGTGTGCGTGTGTGTATGTGTGTGGGGGTGTGTGTGCGTGTGTGTATGTGTGTGCTTTTGTGTGTGTGTGCGTGTGTGTGCTTCTGTGTGTGTATGTGTGTGTGTGTGTGTGTGTGTGTGTGTGTGTGCTTCTGTGTGTGTATGCTTCTGTGTGTGTATGTGTGTGCGTGTGTGTGTGTGCTTCTGTGTGTGTATGTGTGTGTGTGCGTGTGTGTGCTTCTGTGTGTGTGTATGTGTGAGTCTTTCTCTCTCTCTCTCTCTGTGTGTGTACATGTGTGTGTGTGTGTGAGTGTGTGTATGAACCTATAAGTGTGTGTGTGTGGGTGTGTGCTTCTGTGTGTGTATGTGTGAGTCTTTCTCTCTCTCTCTCTCTGTGTGTGTGTACATGTGTGTGTGTGTGTGTGTGAGTGTGTGTATGAACCTATAAGTGTAAGTGTGTGTGTCATAATTACACCTGAACTCCTCCTTATGTTATGTTATGTTCTTGTATGTCGTACACATAATGAGATTAAAACAGGGCTTTCATCCTGATGCTAAATGTAACTGTGGCCAATCCCTGCTCACTCCCTTCACACCTGCGACTTCACACGGAATCAAAGCAGAAATCGGTATCGTTTAAAAGTGATTTGATACAGAAAGTAAAAATATCACAAGAGTGAACCCAAAAGCAGTGGATGAGTTCTAAAGGCTGACTTTCATAACCTCAGTCCTGGATCTACAGCCTGTTCATCCTCTCTCAATAAGGACAGTGATGATCCAGGACATTTATTAACATTTCTGAACAGTGTATTTTTGTATGTTCTGTGTTTGACCTGTGGATTCTCTGATCTATGGTTGGTGAATCCACAACTTTGTAAAGTCTTCAGAGTCAACTACTGTTGTAACTAAGGGCAAATACATTGAATTTAATTGAATAAAAGAGAGAGAGAGTGTGTGTGTGTGTGTGTGTGTGTGTGTGTGTGTGTGTGTGTGTGTGTGTGTGTGTGTGTGTGTGTGTGTGTGTGTGTGTGTGTGTGTGTGTGTGTGTGTGCGTGTGTGTGTGTGTGTGTGCGTGTGTGTGTGTGTGTGTGTGTGTGTGTGTGTGTGTGTGTGTGTGTGTGTGTGTGTGTGTGTGTGTGTGTGTGTGTGTGTGTGTGTGCGTGTGTGTGTGTGTGCATAATTAGACAGTTGCATTAGTCTGAACAAACAAAAGGACCTTGTCACTAATGCACTTCCCTGAGCTGTCTCATCATGATCTGATCTAGGATCAGTATTAGGATCGTCCCCAGGTCCTTCAGCCACTCCGCTGTGTCCCTTCATGTACATTCTACTGAATGCTAACCCACTGGCTCGATTAAGCTCTAAAGGGAAGTGCTCATAACTATGACGTTTGGCTCCTATTGACTTACACGTATAAGTCAACTCCTACAGCTCAGTTTGTGCCACACTCATCATTTTGGTTTTGTACTCTCTGTGATCCTGGTGTTCATATTGTGGATTGTAAACACGTTGTACATTTTGTATTTGTCTGTTTTTTTGTGTAATGATAGGACCCCTGAATCCGGCCTCTTTCATCTGCACTGTGGACGGGTCACCCCGGGCTCGGACTCGTGGGCTGCATCCCCTTCCCCATCTGGGAGCCTCTTCGGACCTGCACCACACAGTCTCTGTCCTGGATCTACAGCCGGTCCGTCCGAAGAAGCAGATCACTCTCTCTGACTATGGGCCTCCCTGAGGTTTCTCACTTTCTTAGTTTCTGATTGGTTTCTTGTCAATGCAGGAGAGTTTAAGAACAGTGATGTTCAGGGACAATTGCAGATTCATGAACATTTCTGGACAGTGGTCATCCCGCTCCATATGGACCAATGGCTCCTATGTGTTGGTCATTTGTATTTGTAACTTTGTAAAGTCCTCTGAGACAACTGCAGCTGTGACTTAGGTCTATACACAAAAACATTGAATTAAATCTCCACATTAGGAGGAGCCATGCCAGAGGGTCCAAGTGGATCGTCTGACCTTCTCGCTGTGACAGAGGAGATCAGAGCTCATCTCCTGCTCTTGTATCGTGGCTGGTGAGATGGCATCAGGGTGTGTGTGTGTATGTCTGTGTGTGTGTGTGTGTGTGTGTGTGGGTGTGTGTGTATGTGTGTGTATGTCTGTGTGTGTGTGGGTGGGTGTGTGTGTATGTGTGTGTATGTCTGTGTGTGTGTGGGTGGGTGGGGGTGTGTGTGTATGTCTGTGTGTGTGAGGGTGTGCGTGTGTATTTGCGTGCGTCGGTAATGCAGTGGTCTAATGAAATGAGGCTGTCTGACTTTTAATTGAATAAGGAGGAAGTCTTTGGATTCCCGTGATATGGATCAGAGCGGAGCCGCGGTATTGATCGAACGGGACATTTCCTCTGAGCAGCTTCATTATGAGCGTTTACTGTGAAGACCGACTCAGGGTCAGATACGACACCAAACTGTGTTTGTACTTTAGAGTCAAGTGGGCGTCAACCTGAAGAAGGAAGAGAGCGTGTGTAAGGTTTTAATTCCAAATTTAACATGTACACAAATATACAGTCTTTCTTTCTGGTCTCTCTCATTGTTCTTTGGCTTTTCTCTGGTACAAAAGACCTCTGATCTTTCTCAGGTTTTTCTTTGATCTCTCTGGTGTCTCTATGGGGGCCTTCCGCTGGTCTCTCTCTCTCTCTCTCTCTCTCTGGTCTCCAGTCTCTCTCTCTCTCTGGTGTCTCTCTCTCTCTCTCTCTCTCTCTGGTCTCCAGTCTCTCTCTCTCTCTCTCTGGTCTCCAGTCTCTCTCTCTCTCTCTGGTCTCCAGTCTCTCTCTCTCTCTCTGGTCTCCAGTCTCTCTCTCTCTCTCTGTCTCTCTCTCTCTGGTCTCTCTCTCTCTCTCTCTCTGGTCTCTCTCTCTCTCTCTCTCTGGTCTCCAGTCTCTCTCTCTCTCTGGTCTCTCTCTTCTCTCTCTCTCTCTCTCTCTCTGGTCTCCAGTCTCTCTCTCTCTCTGGTCTCTCTCTCTCTCTCTCTCTCTCTGGTCTCCAGTCTCTCTCTCTCTCTCTCTCTCTCTGGTCTCCAGTCTCTCTCTCTCTCTCTCTGGTCTCTCTCTCTCTCTCTCTGGTCTCCTCTCTCTCTCTCTCTCTGGTCTCTCTCTCTCTCTCTCTCTCTCTCTCTCTCTCTCTGGTCTCCAGTCTCTCTCTCTCTGGTCTCCTCTTCTCTCTCTCTCAGTCTCTCTCTCTCTCTCTCTCTCTCTCTCTCTCTGGTCTCTCTCTCTCTCTCTCTCTCTCTGGTCTCTCTCTCTCTCTCTCTCTCTCTGGTCTCCAGTCTCTCTCTCTCTCTCTCTCTGGTCTCTCTCTCTCTCTCTCTCTCTCTGGTCTCCAGTCTCTCTCTCTCTCTCTCTCTGGTCTCTCTCTCTCTCTCTCTCTCTGGTCTCCAGTCTCTCTCTTTCTGTTCTTTTTCTGTTCCTTCTCTGGTTTTTCTCTTGGGTCCCTCTCAGATCTATCTCTCTGGTCTCTTTGGTCTCTCTCTGGTCTCTGTGATTAGTTCAGAGTACTTTTTAAACCATATCTACATTTGCCAAATCTTGTGGTGATACCGTTCACTGACAGAAGCTGTTTTATGCAAATGTTTCGAAGTTAAAATTACAACAGCCCCTTACATTGTGTGCACCATGTGCTCTTATATATTGTAAATAGTAACTGAAACTCTATCTTAAATTTAAATGTATTCCTTAGAAGTGTTTTTTATTCTGTATTTTTTATTATCTCTTTCTGACTGTTGCACTGAGCCAAAGCCATTTCCAAGTCTGTGACCTCCTGTTACTTACGTGGCAATAAAAATGATTCTGATTCTGAACTTCTCTGAACGTCACAGTCGCATCAATTTTTCTCTTTGACCTACAGTGGGGGAACAAAGAATTTAGTCAGCCACCAATCGTGCAGAGCTGTCAAAGGACACCAGAAACAAAATTGTAGGCCAGCACCATGGATTAGGTAAGCAGTTTGGTGTGAAGAAATCAACTGTGGGAGCATTAATTAGTAAATGGAAGATATTCAAGACCACTGATAATCTCCCTCGATCTAGGGCTCCACACAAGATCTCATCCCGTGGGGTCACAATGATCATGAGAGCGGTGATCAAAAATCCCAGAACCACACGGGGGGACCTGGTGAATGACCTGCAGAGAGCTGGGACCAAAGTAACAAAGGCTACCATCAGTAACACACTACAACGACAGGGACTCCAAAAAAATTAGACAATGAGATTTTCTGGAGTTTTTGTTTCTTAATCTGTCTGCCATAGTTGAGGTATAAAGTCTTCTTTTTAAGTGGGAGAACTTGCACAATTGGTGGTTGACTATCTACCTTTTTGCCCCACTGTACCTTGGACAGAGACAGAAGTGGAATATGTGAAGTGGGAGTTAGAGGAAAAGATCATTGAGTTTAAACCAAGAGCAAACCAGTGACATGTGGTCAAGGAAGGGCCTCCTACGATCAAGGAAAGGAAAAAAGAAACAATGGAAACAATAATACTTGGTCACTTTAACAAGTGATTTGTGCCATTGTATTATTTCAATGTAACTTTGCTTTATTTCATATATTTTTACCTGTAAATCCTATTGTTCTCATATTGGACAGAGTGGTCACTTGGAGACGTAAACTCTACAGCTCACAGCGGGAGAAGCCCGTGCGGTGCTTGTTTTCTCTGCTTATCGCGTTTTACAAAGTTATACGTTTTTACTTTACCATCCACATGTCTACCTTTGAGAGGATGGTCATAAATTGTGTTTTTGAAACAAATATTGGTCTTTATCGCGCTCAACCACGGCTTGTAATGTCACTACGTGAGGCCAGCCTCAGGGGGCGCTGTGAGCCCAGAATTATATTTAATCTGATTCCATCAGAAAGCGTTCTTTCTTGTTCTTCTTCAGCTAAAGGCAGCTCCAGGTTTGGGTAAAATACATATAAGACATTTTAAGATGATTTAAAATTAAGACAGGAATGATAAGAAAGAGAGGTAAGAGGTAAGAAGATTTTAGAAATTGGATGCACCCAAGAGTCGGCTGCAGACAGCTAGCAAAACATGAGAGCGGTCTGTGGAGGAGACACTCGTTTTGCTTTTTAAAACTCATTGGACTTATTTACAAATGGAGGATTACTTATCTACACTCAAATTATTATCTGGACTTATAAATGAAACTTGTCTGAACTGAAGTGGTGTATGGAGTAACCTTTTTACACACTTTGTATGAGCAAACAATTCGGACATGAAACACATTCTGCTGTTGCCAAACAAATTGTGAATAAGCCGCTCTGTAGGTCCTGTTGATGTATATGATGTGTATGTTCATCTACCTCACCGCACGACACTGAACGACACATATATTTGGTGGAAACAATGACACTGTTCCCTGGTTGTTGTGGCTGGATCTGTCTTGTAAAAGTAAACGCCTCTAGCTCAGTAATCGTTTGTGTCACACTCATCATTTTGGGATTACATTTGTGGTTTAGCGCTCTCTGGTATCCTGGTGTTTATTTTGTGGTTTTGTCTCTGTAGTGTCTCTGTAGTGTCTAATTTCTAGTCAAATGGGATATAAATAAAGTAGTTTACTAAAAATGTGACTGAAATAAATTCAACTCTCAATGTCATCAGTGTTACAACAGAACACTACTTCCCTGGTCTCTCTCTGGTCTCTCTCTGGTCTCTCTCTGGTCTCTCTCTCTGGCCTCTCTCTGTTCTCTCTCTGGTCTCTCTCTGGTCACTCTCTGGTCTCTCTCTGGTCTCTCTCTGGTCTTTCTCTGGTCTCTCTCTGGTCGCTCTCTGGTCTCTCTCTGGTCTCTCTCTGGTCTCTCTCTGGTCTCTCTCTGGTCTCTCTCTGGCCTCTCTCTGGTCTCTCTCTGGTCTCTCTCTGGTCTCTCTCTGGTCTCTCTCTGGTCTCTCTCTGGTCTCTCTCTGGTCTCTCGGCACGGTGGCTGAGTGGATAGCCCCGAACCTTCTTCACAGCAAGAAGGTTCGGGGCTCGAGTCCCACCCATAGGGCCTTTCTGAGTGGAGTTTGCATGTTCTCTCCGTGTCTGCTCCAGGTGCTCCGGTTTCTTCTGCCAGTACATATATATATATGCACATTAGATAAAATTCTTCAGCTCCAATAGTCCTGAAAAAGCCGAGCATCAACATCTGGAGATGGGTCCCCGGGCGCTGTACAATGGACACCACTGCTCCTGATAACAGCCCTAGTGGCATCAGGATGGGTCAAAAGCAGAGGGTGAATTGCCCTATGGGGATAAATAAAGTGAAGCTTTACCTAGACTCAGGTGGTTACACCGTTGGGCCTAAACCAGTGGAACATATTTACACATTTTAACACAGATTCGTGGTTGTGTTCAGTGACCACTCATCACTCTGTTTGAAGATTACCCGCTCGCAGACATCATCACTGGGGGTGAGGGGGGGCAGCTTAGAGGGTCCAGAGTCCATAATCCCTCAGCCTTCACGCCGATTCTCCATGCACTTCGACTCACTGAAATACAAGCGTCCGCAGCAGCAGTCGGAGCTGTGGGTCCGCCGCGGGCCTCCTCAGATGGATGACACGTCTGCAGTGAATGTGAAGGGGGAGAGGGGTGAGTCGCAAATAACAAGACACTGGTCCACAAACGGAGTAAAGGCGGCCGGAGTGTGAGTGAGGCTGGTGCAGAGAGTTTAGGGGGATGGAGGGAAGGGCTAAAGGAAGAAAACATTGAACACAATTAAAACATATTTCTTAACTGTTCAGGACTCGGCACCCGACTGCACGAAAAACCAATGGGCCCAGGCCTGGCTCCAGGGAGGCTCCCCGGCTTATCAGGAGGGACCCAAGCTACAGGAGGAACTGTATACAGGCCTAGCTAACAAAGACAGCAAACAGATAGATAGATAAATACTTTATTGATCCCCGTAGGAGAAATTCAGGTGTTCAGCAGCAAAAGACTCATCCAGGTTTGTTGTACAGTCTGACAGCCGAAGTAATATCGAACTATCTAAATGACGTCACTAAGACACGCCCCCGCCGCCTGTCAACTCCCGCCCACATGTTTCGGACAAACACTGCCGAAATGAATCAAATACCACTTGTCACTTTAGACGAAAATGATAAACCAGGGGCAAAATTCCACCATCAAACCATCAGGGATCATAGTGTAGACCAATTATAACGTTGGCTTGAATGTCGTGGTCTTCCAGTAACTGGTAGACGGTTTGAATTGATAAAAAGATAATGGTGAGGATTATGCTAACATTATCTAGCCATTTAAATTGCAATGCTAGCGCCTTCTTTGTTTGTTTTGCTGTGATTAACTTCCATTTATCAAGTTGTTTTTGCACTATCCACTTTGTAATTAGTTTGATCATTAGTTAGCTACAGTCAGCTGATATTATAATAAATCCATGATCACAACGGGTTACGCCACTGTCTCTGAGAGAAACTATCAGAGCTAGCCACACTCAGTAAACGCAAATGACAATCAATCGACACATTTAAATGTTAATGGGAGAATACATTATACACATTCATAACACAAGTGCACGGAGGTTTTCAGAATTAACTGTTCAGGTTTTCATGACAAAAATACTTTTTTAATGCGACTAAAGCGATCGCTTTTAGGTTAACTATCCTCACTGTTACTCGCCTGCCACGGGAAAACCTTTGGGAACTATTTTCTTTGCACTCATTAAATAAACCTTTCGGCATGAGTAGTGAATGACGTTTATTTTGTGTGTTCAATTGGTACAAAGCCGTATAATAAGCAGACACAAAGTTGAAAAAAATCCCTCTCATCTTTCTTCAGGTGTGAGAATTGTATACTTTCTGGATTAGGACAAACAATACTAATATGGATTGATGGGGGTAAATGGTGTAAAGAGAAAGTTTGTGCTAACTACATTCAGAAGAGCTCAGACGGACCTGATACAGCGGTCCAGGTCCAGTCCCAGCTAAACGTAGCTAGGACTGGATCTGGATGCTCCAAGTGTTTTGAAAAAACATGTGTCCTTTTTAACCTTTTCATGAGAGAAATTCTGCCGACCACAAGCACCCACCTGGTCTGATCTGGTCCTGGTCTGGTCCTGGTCTGGTCCGATGTTGTGGTTTAACGAACGGGTTGAATGTTACTTTCATATAGTCCTTTTCAGAGTATCTGAAATCGCTCCGACAAGCACCATAACTGCAGTGTTTTGTTGTCACCATGATTCAATGATTTAGCCCAAATAAATACACACGCGTATGTGGAGAACACAGTAGAACTCAACGAGTCGTACACAATGTTTGTCCGAAACATGCGCGCATGCGCAGTCATCTGAGCTATTTTTAGCACATTTCGGAAACCGGACAGTGCCCTATAAAGGATCTCTTGAAATGTTTCGTTCTGAGCGGCCATAGTGTCATGCAGAGGGTGTCTGGAGTTACCCAGCATGCCCTGCATTAGAACCCACATCCTTCTCTCCAGCACAGTCCCACAGAGTCCACACTAATTCCACACTTCTCCCCATCACAGAGACACATTTCCTGATCAGCCTGTCGAGCCGGTTACTGTCTCGAGGTCAAACAGCCAACCCAACATGCGACCCCAAAGAACACGGCACTAGCTACAACAGACTGGTAAAATATGTGCAACATCTGACTGCTCACATCAAAGGACCTCAGTCTTCTCAGGAAGAAGAGTCTGATTGGACTGTATACAAATGGGTATTGCTATCATAGACTGTAGATGGACAATGCAAACCTGCGAGCTCACTGAGGCCCAGTAGGGAAGTGCTCATCGTTTGGCTCCAATTCTCTCCAATTTACTTCCATGTAAAAGTAAACTCCTCTAGCTTAGTCATTGTTTGTGTCACACTCCAATTTGGGCAAAAGAAAATGTAATCCTGGTGTTTTTATTTGAACAATGTCTTTCTCCAGAAATTACCCCTAACCCCAGTTCGGAGTCTTCTGTCCCTGAATTCATTTACTAGCTGGAGTGGGAACAGCCCAGCACAGCTTCTGATTGGCTCCTTGGTTACTGGGTGGTTGCTATCTGATCATTTGTTATAGGGTTGTTTGCTCTCATCTTTATTGCCCTAATTGGCTTCGTCTTTGATGTGGGCGTTGGTGGAGAGAGCTCAGACTGTCACAGAGGGATTGAGCAAGTGTGACATCACCAGAGTGCTAGCTTTTATGCAGAAGAAGCTGATTCGTTACGATTGGGTAACCTACCTTCCTTTGCAGGGTCAGACACTAACAAACATGTTGCTAAGGTAAGTTGTGGAGTTTCCCTACAAAGGAAGGCATTAAATTGGTCAGTCCTTATATGGCTCACATTTGGATTTACAAAGACAATCTCACAATATAAACTCCAAGATCACAGAGAGCGCTAACCCACAGATTTGAGCTCAAATTGGTGAGTGTGACACAAAGGGTTGCTGAAATAGAAGTTTACTTTTACACGTAAGACCCGGAGCAACACGTTGTCCAATAGCATTTCCCTATTGGGCCTCATTGAGCTAGCCAGTTAGCATTGTCAACAGGCTATGTTAGCTTTGTCCGTCTGGGGCATACTGCTGAATACTTGGCCTCTTTGCTTACAGTCAGCCTCAATATTGATCAAGTGACATTTTATTTCAGATTCCTGCTGCATAAATCACTGTTATGGATTATTTCTGGATCATCGTGGTCTTCATCATTTCCCTGATTCCAGACGTTAGGAGCCGACAGGATGGGGTCCTGGAGCGAACCCGGACTCGCTCTGGTTTACGAGGCTGTAACTCTGAGCGACAAACAAGGATTTAGAGATTTTTATGAACTTTTGGCGGCGGCCGTGGACGTCTGGGGCTGAGGATGAGAGGACGTGCCCTTGTCCACACGCTCTAAATCTGGGAGAGAGGAGAGAGGGGAAAGGGGAGAGGAATGAGGGGAGAAGAAGTGATCGGATCACAACATGCCTTTAGTTACTATTTTCATAAGAAAGACCAGAGAGAGAGAGCAGAGAGATAGACTGAGAGAGACCAGAGAGACAGAGCAGAAAGAGAGATAGACTGGAGAGAGAGATCAGAAAGATATACCAGCGAGAGAGACACCAGAGAGAGACCAGCTATACCAGCGACAGAGAGAGAGAGAGGACAGAGACATGTTTTAGATTTATAATCATAAACCCTCCCCGCACACACAGACAGGCCTCTTCTCTTCTTGTCCAAACCCTGAGCGACTGTGACTCTGCTCTGGCACCTGCCGTGCTCTTCAAGGTTAGTTTTTGATTTAACCGTGATGCATTTTTAAAAAGTGCACGGAGCTGGTGTGCGCCGGCGCCCCCTAGTCCATCTCTGTCAACGGTGGAAGTGCGGATCACCTTTTGGAGCTCAGAGGAGTTTTGGGACATAAATCAGAGCTGTGCATGGGCCTCGATCAGAAGGGGGGTCCTCCTGCTGCACTGGACACAGACCAGGGTGAGGGATGAATGTGGGACAGGCTCCAGCTCTATGGGCAAACAGGCTCAGGGGGACTGGTCAGGGTCAGGGACAGGGGACTGATCAGACCTGGTCCACTGGTCAGAGACCAGTTTCCGGTCTCTCTCTGGTCTTTATCTTAAAAATATCTCCCCTCTTCTCTCTCCCCTCACACACCTCACCCCTTTCCCCCCATTCTCTCTCCTCTCTTGCCCTGACGAGAAACTGCTCTCAACTCATTCACTGCATCAACCTTTTTTCTCTCTAAAATGGCTCAAAATGAGGTAAAAAAAAAAAATCTAAATGAATCAGACTAAGAACCCATTAGAGCAAAAACTAAAATGGCAGGGTTCTTTGTGAATCTGAGGCTCTGTAGTTTTAGCCGCTGATGAATTGTTTACTTTTGAATACACTGGAAACGGCAGAAAGTCCTAAGTAACTGTGATGGCAAGCGACTAGTATTCATGCAACCCTGCCTGTTTCTATTCATATGTCCCTGCTCCAGGAAGGAGCAACCCTGCCTGTTTCTATTCATATGTCCCTGCTCCAGGAAGGAGCAACCCTGCCTGTTTCTATTCATATGTCCCTGCTCCAGGAAGGAGCAACCCTGCCTGTTTCTATTCATATGTCCCTGCTCCAGGAAGGAGCAACCCTGCCTGTTTCTATTCATATGTCCCTGCTCCAGGAAGGAGCAACCCTGCCTGTTTCTATTCATATGTCCCTGCTCCAGGAAGGAGCAACCCTGCCTGTTTCTATTCATATGTCCCTGCTCCAGGAAGGAGCCGGGCCCCCCGACACCTACAGACAATGGCGCAAATCACTGTCCCCCCTTTCGCCTCTTGCATATCTATCGGTCTGTATGTGTGCATTTTCTACATCCTGCTGTCTGTCACACCCTTGTGTCTTTCGCGTCTTGCATCTGTATGACCTGCATTTCTACCATTGTCTGTCTGTTCGCACCTCCATCCCAGACGGCGCCAACGCTCCCCATGCGCCTCCTCACCGGTGGCCCCCTCCCATCTGTTGTGGGCGGGACTGTCTCTCGTGTGTGTCTTGTATACAGGAAACTCGGGGCTCTGCGCTCAGAGCTGGTACATGCTGCCTTTGTGTGTATATGCTGGCTCTCCGCACGTGTGTATAATAAACTTACGCTCCTGATTTAAGACAAATACTTTTGGGCTTTCTCCTTGCTTTGGGGTATATAATTCTACAACATAACTCAGTTGTTACGATTGTTTTTTTTTTTCGTGCTTTACAATGGCTTATATTTTCTTGCTTTTTTCAACTTGAGATATTGCTGTTCATGGTTTTGCGCTGGTCCGGACCGGAGCCGAGCGGATTCATGGTCTGAAACGAAGCGGACCAGAGAGAGAGACCGGAAATAGAAACCATTGAGTGACTAGAGAAATAGACAGGAGAGAGACTGGAGAGTGTGA